TATACAAGCAATATAGTTATATTTCCTTGAAAGTTGAAGATCAGGAACATGAAAACAAAACCACCTACAGTTCCACAGCCTTGGTGTGCATTGCTGTGTCTGGAGGCTTCTAGACACAGAGCTGTGCCTGGAAGGGAGAGTAAGTGCCCAGCTTTGTGGTTGTCGAAAGGGAAGCGATTATGTCTTGTCAACCGGGGCAGGTATCTGGATGACTAGACAGACACCTCATTATTTTGCCGAGGAATATATTTAAATTGTGAGTTTGTTTCTTCTTGGGACTAGCTATCTGTGTAAAATGTCATGAACCTCTACGTTTTTAGCCTGGATGCTCTGGGCCTGCTCATTAAAGTGTGGCATTCTCTGTACCTGTGTCTTGATTCCCTCAGCCAGACTGCAGCTAGGGCTTGTTATGGTTAACTTACTCTGGTGAGGGTTTCTGCTCAGAGACAGTCATGGCTTTAGTCTGAGCTGACCTGCTTAGAAGCAAATGTAGCCTTATCCTGAGGATAGAATAGTTCAGCCTAGCCATCAGGCCTACAACTGTGTCACATACCTAACAACCATTATTTCTCAGGAAATGACTCTCAACATTTATATATAAACGTGAACAGTGCTGCAGAGTATATCATATGCATGGTACGAGAATATGATAAACATATCAATGACAAGATTTAGAAAACAAATGCATCGGTAAAAATAAAGCAGGACTCATTCTCACCAATATTTTTTTGAGTCTCCTAATTTGCATCCATGACTATACTTCTTTTATTTTCCATCATACATAGTGTGCTGGTTGGTTTTTGTCAACTTGAGAAGAAAGAATTGAAACTGAGGAGTAGTGTGCATCAGCCTGGCCCGCAGGCAAATCTGTGGAGAGTTTTCCTGGTAATGATGGATGTGGTAGGGTCCCGATCACTGTGGTAGTCCTGCCCCTGGGCAGGTGGTCCTTGGGTTCAGAAGGAAGCTGGCTAAGGATACCATGGGCAGCAACCCAGCAAAGACCATTCCTCTGTGGCCTTCAGATTTTGTCTCCAGGTGCCTACATTGGCTTCCCTCAGTGATAGACTGTAATCTGTAAGCCAAATAAACTGTTTCCTCCCATGGTTGACTTGGCCATGGGGTTTTATCACAGCAATAGAAAACAAACACGATGGCTTACTCACCAAGGAAATATGTGTACACATGTTCTTTTGCCAACATAGTTGTTATCCTACAACATGGTAACCTACTGTGTATGTTGCTATGCACCCTCCATTTTGTCATTTAACAATATTACTTAGAGATAAAGGCATAGACTATGCCTTTGAACTTTATAATATGTCAATACATTGGGATACTCTTTATAACCATCATCCTTAATAGCTATAAAAACTGAGCTAATGATCCATGCAACCCTCTAATAAACATTTACCACACACCTGCGGAGCACTGGCGAGTCTCAGATAAGAAGTGACAAGCCACACCCTAACAGGAGTCACAGTCTGGAAAAGGTAGCCTGGTAAACAAGTTACAAGCTGTTGCTAAGTACCAATATGGGGTGCTGGAAGAACAGAGGACGGAGTCTCCAAGATGTCACACAAAGGTGTTGAAGGATCAGTAAGGCAAGCTGGCTCATGGACAAAAGGCAAGAGGATCCTAGTCAGAGACGAGGACCATGTGCAGTGTGCAAAGACACAGGCGTGGGGAGCATCGCTGCAGTCACATGACAATAAGGAGTTGGGTACAGCCCCAACTGCTTGATCTGTCAACCTGCAGTCAAGTGTGCAATACAAATAAGGCTACCACAACACCTTGCAGTATATATCTTTTTCCATATCTTGGAGTATTTCTTTGGCTACATTCCCAGAAGTGAGGCTGCTGAGTTAAACTGTAATACTTTGACCTCAGACATATGGCTTGACCCCTTTCCAAGTAGGCCACATATCTCTCATATGTTGCAGTTGCATAGGCCTTGTGATACATTGCAATGACATGTGTGTAAACCAGTGTTCATTATATTTGAACCTTTATCATTAAGTTAATGTATATTTTTATTACATTTCCCCATAGATGTTAATTTAGATTTCTTCTTATACTTTTTGCTATTGATTTATTTATTGTTTTGAGACACTGTTTCTTTGTGTAGCCCCAGATAACTCAGAACCTGCTTTATAGACCAGTCTGGCCTCAAACTCAGAGAGATCCACACTGCCTTCTGAGTGCTGGGATTAAAGGCGTGTGCCACAATGCCTGGCTTGTTTTTTGTTTAGACACAGGGATTCTGCACTTTAGCCCTTATGAGCCCTTCTTACAACACAGGTATTCAGACTTACTGTTCATGTTTGTTGCCCATAGCCTTTTCTGGTTAGTTAGATACAACAAATGCTGATAATTTATGAAGGTACTCCTAGTCATAACCATTGATTATTTCCTTCCATTGTTTCCAAGTCAAGGAATATTTCTATTATGAATATTATGAACTTTAACAGATATTTTGTTTTCTGGATTGCTTAAAATATGTTTATTAATTGTCAGAACTTTGGATATGTGATGTGACATAGGACTATAGGACTTTTCAACTAGTTTTTTTTTTTTTTTAATGGCTCTCCAAATTGCGAATGAGTGATTGAACTGTATCTTCGCCATTGATCTTTTGTCTTTTCTTCTTGTAGATAGCACCTCATGTAGCCCAGAATTTAGTTTGGAATTTAATATGTAGGTAAGGATGAATTTGAACCCCAATATTCCTGTTCCCACTCCCGAAGAGTTGGCCATACAGACACACACTGCCATAGTCCATTGATGTTTAAGACTTTATTTTTAGAGATGTTTTTAGGTTCACGATGAAGGAAAATACCTATGAGGTTTCTTCTATATGAAATTCCAAACAAGGGCAAAACTATGGAGATCTAAAACATCTGTGGTTTTGGGGGAAGTGGGGAATGTATAGGCAGAACACAGAGGGTTTATAGGACAGAGAAAATACATGGTATGATACTCTAATGAGAGATACATGCCACTAGACATCCATCAAGACCATAGATATCAGCACCAGAGGTGGACCCTCAGCAGACTATGGAATTTGAGCAACAGTTATGTGTCAGCAAAGGTTCATCAGTTGCCCAAATGGACCACTCTCGTGCCAGATGGCGGTAAAGTCAGGAACTAAGCATGTGTGAGGGCAAGGACACTTGAGGTATCACTTAAGGATAAAATGCAGCCACCAGTTGGATTTAATTCTAGTCCTTTGTTGAAATGTGTCACACAGCTTAGGGGAGACCTCTCCTCCGATTTCCCCAGAATTCTGCAGCAGCAGATCTATTTATACAGACAGAATTACAATAGTGTGAGTAGGCTTCGGTAAAGCTCCTCAGTGTGATGTTAGTAAAGAAATCCATTGCTGGAAGAGGACCTTGCTGTCTGGGCTGGGTGGAGAGACAGACAGCTCTTTCATCTGCTGCTAGTCAGTATCATGGGATGGAATGAGTAGGATTCCTGGTCCTCCTGCCTTTTGGGTAACGTGACTCAAAACATAGTCCCAATCCTTCTGAAGGCCAGGCCCTTCTAGAAAGAGTTTACCATAGGTAAAAGTAAACTTGCCTTATCAACGCTTGAAGCCAATTTTTGAGCTAAAACAGAGACAGTCACTTAGCAAAACCCTATTCAGAATGCTCTGGACCTCAAGCCTTCCCAGACCCCTAAGTTACCATTTCTGGGCCCGGTAAGGCAGTCTCACTGGATGATTCTGGATTTTTTTTTTTTTTTTTTGAAAATCTCTATCATAGATGTTTGAAGATGTAAGTGAATTCCCATAGATGTTGCCACACATTTCTTAGCTGTTCTTGCTTCTTTTCCCACAAAACACGGGCACCTATTTGTGAAGAGTGTGGATACGCAATTGCTGCGTATCTGCATACCACCGATGCTCAGTTTCCACCCTCTAGTTCTGGCCTTTGTCAGAGGTCAGGAGTGGTCTGAGTCTATAAATCCAACTGGGATCCCCCAGAGGAAAACGGTCCTGTAACTCCTGGATCGCTTCCTCACTTCGGAAGCAGTTGCGTTCCTTGGGCGCTATTCCATCAAGGGTGGAAGTTGACCTGGGTCAAGACTCCTCTGGGTGTCCCCCCCCCCCTTCCGTGGCCCCATTTGCAGGATGAAATTCGTTTCTCTGGCCAGTGGGAAGGTTGGGTTAGTCACTGAGCGATTCAAAGTAGCCTCACCCCCCACCTCCATGCTCTTCACTTCAATTCCCTAACTCCCCTTGCACCCCTCAGCAGAGCTCCATGTCACACTCTGCTCTGCTGTTGGGTAGCAAGGCACCCGCTCTTCCACATAGCGGTGCTGGAGGAGGATGCATGTGTGGGTGTGTGTGTTGGGGAGGGGCTCGTCCAGCCCTGGCGCCCCGAAACCACTCTCTTTTCTGGGGTCCCTCCAGAGCAGCTGGTGGCCAAGAAGAAGGACCAGCAAGCTCATCCACCGCGGTCGGTCCTTCTGCCTAGGCTGCTCTGGATCAGAGCGCTTCGGGGTGTTCCTTCGTATCCCCGGGTAGCATGAGGCTTGGGGAAGAAGGGGCCGGGAGAGAGGAGTCGAAGCAGAGGGACTGGCGGACCGCGACAGAGGTGGCGCGGCTGCGTGGTGCGAGCGCCTCTCGGGAGCTCCCGAGCACGAGTCGAGCGCGCGCGCGCCTCGCCGACCCGGGCGCCGGGCGGAGCTGCGGGCCGGGGCGGGCGGAGCGAGCGGCGGGCGGAGCGAGCGGTGGGAGGCGCGCGAGCGGGCGGCGGGCAGCGTCTCCGCCGGCATCTGCGCGGCCGCCACTGCCCGGAGCCCGGGGACCGAGCGCCGGACCCGCCGCCTGGCGCACGGACGCGAGGCTCCCGCTTTGTGCTCCGTGCCTGTTCGACGAGGCTTCCCGGCGGTTGCGGCCACCGCGTCCCGGCGGCCTCGGAGGCCCGCGGCTGGAGGTGCCGGAGCCGCTCGGTCCGCGCGGCTGAGCCCCGCGTGCCCTGCTGCTCGCCGGGCTGCTCCGAGCCGCGGTGCTCCGGGGCTCCAAACTCGGGCTGGCGGGGAAAGTGTCTTCATGAACCCAGAGGATGTCCGGGAAGCACTACAAGGGTCCTGAAGTCAGTTGTTGCATCAAATACTTCATCTTTGGCTTCAATGTCATATTTTGGGTAAGTTGGAGCGCTCTTGGGCTTCCAAGTGCCGTGGCGGATGGGTGGGCGACGGTCCCCCGCTGTGGTCGCTGCCTTTACTTTTCGCCGCCCCCGGGGAGCCTGCCCTTGCCGGGGCTAGAGGCTTCTACCTTCCGCCTTCCCGGCTCGAGCGCGAGGGAGACAAACACTTCATCCTTCCCAGGACCCGGAGGAGATGAAAAGAGGAACCGAGCCGGGCAGGGGGCAGCCAGGCCTCAGGGTGGCTTTTTTCTTTCTCTTTTTTTGAAAAAAAAAAAAAGGGGGGGGTTGCATAGCTTGGGCACGGATGGGAGGACGCCTCGGCAGTTTGAGAAACGAGCGAGTACACGGATTAGGTTTGCTTCCCGTGGGATCTGGATGTTGGGCAGAGCGTGGTGTCATAATGGGGCAGGCTAATCGGGCAGAGCCGACCCCGAGATCCACCTTCCAGCGCCGTTCTGATTGGCCGAGGGCTTGGCTCCGTGTTGCCGCGGCTGGTCTGTGCCGTGCTCAGCGTGTATCTCCTTGCACCATCTCGGGCTTTGTGTAGGATGCAGATGCGTGGTGTGTGGTTCTGTAATGTGCACGTAAATAACGCGTCTTGCATGCTCCTCTCTGGCTGTAAAGCGCTTTCTTCGCATAATGGACTGGTCAAGTGGGCGTGTGGGGTGGAGGGGTTTATATCTGTGTGTATCCTTGTGGAATAACTAGTCGCCAGTCAACATATGTTCCAGTGTGCGCTTGCCTCACGTCCTCCCTTTTTAAAGGGGTGACACACAGCGGGGCCGGGTTTTTAGTAACCCTCGGAGAAACGCTAAGGAGAAGGTGGTGTGTTTTACTGACTAGCAGGCGAGCTGCTTGCACACCGGGTTCAAACCGTGCACTGCTTGGCACTGCCATGTGCGGTGTGCCGGGCGCCTATTGTAATCAGGCTGGGACCCTACTCTTTTGTTTTGGTTCTTTTCTGCGACCTCACAACCATGTTCAGCAACCAGACAAAGAGTTCTGTAGGACGAGGGGGAAAATGGTTGGTTGGAACACTATATTATTTTTCAGTCCACCTCTTCCTATTGGGTCGTCTTCCTCGATGACACCTTCTCTCCACGGGCGGTTAAGATGGTGGCTTTCCGTGGGGGTATCCCCAAGTTTCTGCAAGGTTAAATAACAATGACCCAGCGGTCTGAATACAGTACATTTTCATTTTTGGACTTCCCTTAATTGTGGCGGTTTGCTGTAAATACATACGTCTGTGAGAATAGTTGTTTCCTCACTCACAAGCTCATTTTAGTTTTCATCAGAGTGGCCATGTGTGTGTTGTGGAAGGAAATGGACTTTGTGTCAGCATGTCATCTGTTCTCAGGGCTGGACTAGATTGATGAGGGAGCGTGGGAATGGACACCATACCCAACCATTCACAGTCGTGTGTGTGTGTGTGTGTGCGCGCGCGTGCGTGCACGTGCATGTGTGTGTGATGGTATGTGGTTCCTGGGGGCATCCCCCCCCCACAATCCCTGCTGTAATTAGAGCAAGAGGAAATGATTTTCTTTTTTTGCTTCTCTCCTGGACCCTTTCTGGAAATGTTTAAAGTGGTGGGTAGGCATATTTCCCAGTGAGCTCTTCTGATAGCATTGAACTATGAGAGGCAAGGGCCGTGGAATGGGGCTGCAGGGGCGTTTGGTTCAGGCCTCTTCATTCCACTCGAGCAGTTCCAAAAGTTGCACATTTCAGCTACCAGGCAACAAAAAGCACCCATGGGCTTTCTCCGCAGTTTCATAGCAGGGAATGGAAAGGAAATGAAAAGGATTGGGGAATGTTTCCCTGGCAGTTGGGTGTAATTTTGTGGCGAGCACAAAGGCAAATTTAGCCCTGTCTCTGGATTAGGCTGCAGCAAAGCCCCTGAACTGTGGAGGGCTTCGACAAAATTGCAGATCAATGGTGTGGAGAGTTCCAGAATAGGGCTCACGTCTTAGGTGGTTTTGAAGGTATTCCTGCGGGCGGTAGGTAGTTTTGTGGGAAGCCTGGGCAGCGTTGCTGAGGAGGCCCCTACTTAGTCCTTTACACTCCCTGCCTTTTCAGTGTCAAGGCCCACCCCTAATCCTTTTTCTGTCCTGCTTGCTGTCTCCAAATTGCCTTCTATTTAAATGCCCCATTTTATCAGGACCAGTGGCTCTAGCAGAAAGCAGCGGGAAAATACCCATGTTATAATTAAAGCAATCCACACTAAAATGTTAGTGACTGGCGATCTGGCAGCGGCTATACAAACTTGCACGCCTCTCCTCTGTGGAGCCTCCGGCCCGCCTGTGATCGCCACAAACAGCAGAGCCGGTGCTTCGGCTGCACAGGTATGAAGGAGACATTGCTAGCAGAGACCACGGGTGCCTAATCTCTCATTTTCACATTGACAAGGTGACTGGATTTGAAATTCATTGAAGACATTTGAATGTAGCAGTTCTTGTAAAATAAAAGTGAACACACAGTGGCAGCTGTGACAGTTCGGATCTCTTGCTAATCAGCACGGTGACTGTTAGTCACTTAACTGCCCTGGCCTTCGCGCTTCTCAGCTAGTAAAATGAAGGATTTGGTTGAATTGTGAGGGTTTTTTTTCTTTCTTTCTGCTTTTGGCAAAGAATTTGTTGAGTTCTAATAATGCCGGGCAAGATGAAATGTGAGAGAGGGGTGATAGGCTGTAATGGGAAAGGCATGGAGACTTGCCTAGTTATGGACTGTCCTTTACTGAGACTCAGGGATTATTTGTTTTTCATTTCTTCCTGAATGATCCTCTCACTTAGAAAAACAAAACAAAACCGAAAAACCCTTTCACTAAATTTCCCTAGCTTGTGGAGTTATTGTCATGGCAGGTATGTTTCCCTATCTGCTCTGTGAATCTCAAGAATGTAGTCCTGAGTCATCATTATTATTAGAATTACAGCTTCACGTGTAAAATCCTAATTCTTTTATGTAACAGTTGTGATATTCTGAGTCAGGAAGCCAACATCTTGTAGAGATTCCTTTCTTGTTAGTTGTCACAGGGTGGGGGGAAAGCCTTGCTTTTCTTGCTCTATATTGGAAGAACTCTAGCCAGCAGGAATTGATTTTATTGAGGGTGTCACCATAGGAAGACATTACTCACAAACACTGAGTTGTCTTTGGGGCAGAGGGGAGGGGACAAGAGGTGTTTTGTTTCCAGGTCAGTCCTTTGGGGAGTTTGAGTCTCATCACTGGCCATTTGTAGAGGTTTTGTTCTGGCCCTTGACACCTAACTGTGTCCCAGCAAATGAGTGAATGTCAGCATCCATCCTGGTTATTTATTGCTGCACACAACAACCCCCCCCCCAACTTCAGTACTTTAAAACTAAACCTCATTATGACAGTTCACAGTTTGGCCACTGGACTACTCACAGGGATGGTTCTAATCTGGGATCTCTGCCCACCCACCTGCTGTGAGCTGTGCCTGGCCTTTTTTTTTTTTTTTTTTAATGCCTCCTTTGGGTGGGGAGCCCAGGCTGGTGCTCACCTGTGACTGGCAGGAGACACTGATGGCCAGCTCTGGCACAGTACAGGGATTGCACTGTCTGGGATTCTGCTGTCTCAGACTTGAGGCAGCTTCCGGGCAGTTTAACAGCACTGCCATTTGGCATATTGATGGAGTCTTGTCAATTGTCAGTTCTGTCCTTGATAGGGAAGTGTCAAGGTCACTTTGTTATGTGGTGTTCTGGCTAGGTTTCTGTCACCTTGACACAAGCCAAAGTTATCTGAAAGGAGAGAACCTCAACTGAGAAACCCTCCATAAGTCCAGCAGTTGTATATTTTCTTAATTAGTGATCTGTGGGGAAGGGCCCAGTCTGTTGTGGGTGGTTCGATCCCTGGGCAGGTGGTCCTGGGTTCTATAAGAAATCAGGCTGAGCAAGCCAGTAAGAGAAATCAGGCTGAGAAAGCCAGTAAGAAGCACTCCTCTGCATCAGCTCCTGCCTCCAGGTTCCTGCCCTGCTTGAATTCCTGCCCTTGTGATGACAAACCGTTAAATGGAACTGTGCGCGAAATAAACTCTTTCCTTCCCAAGCTGTTGTTGGTCATGGTGTTTTATCATAGCAGTAATAATCCTGACTAAGACATGTGATTCCAGCCATCTTTAGAAAGTGACTTATTAGAAAAACATGACCCCACTGATCAGCAGAAGCTTTGAGTTAGTTGGTAGGACCACTTGTTATTTTGTTCTCTGTTCTGTCCAAGGACTAGAGCAGCTATGGTCTGTTTGAGGCCAGATGTCTCTTTGGTGTGCTTTCAGATATTACTGTGTGTTGCAAGCCAAGGTTCATCCAGGACGGATGGCAGAATGCTGGATATAATTTATTTCCATGGGGCTTACATTCCAAGAAGAGGGAGACTCAGGGAACCTTGGGCTGTGGGTGGGGCATCAAGCAGGATGTCTTATCTTATGATTCAGTATAAATTTCAAGATGTTCTGGAACGTTGGTACATCAGCAGTTTATAAGTCATAATTTTTGTTTTAATTTGCTAGACATCTGTTAGCTTTGGTGGCAACCGTATGGAAGTATCAATTGCCTTTCGAGTGACTGGGAGATGGGGGAAGAAAGCTAAATGTGGCTACGTGACTGGCTCTTGAGAGAAGGGTGGGGAAGGTGTGTGGGCCTCAGAGGGGAAAGTCAGGACCCACCATTGGGTTCACTATGGGACTGTGCATTCTCAGTGGACGATGCTCTGGAAGGTTGAAGAGCCAAAAGCAAAAGTTGGGAAGCCAGGTAACTAATATGCCACCCTGCATGCATAAAGTTGCAACTGGAAGCTCAGTTAGTGGGGTCACCCTGTCCTGATGTCCACACTGCCATGTTGTTCCTTAGGAAAGTGAAAGCAAGGTCCTCTTTTGATTTCTCCATGGGGGTCTTGCTATTTCGTCCAGCCTAGCCCAGCCTGGTGGCCAACCCTACCCCATAAACTCCTTCCCCAGTCTGACCGAGTGGCTGCAGGTATAGACACAAGCT